TGGTATTGACTAATATCGGGTGTCAAGTTATAGTATTGGAATCATTATCATTACTATCCCTGCAGTAAATATAGGTTTCTGTATCTAAGAATAAAAATAGCATTAGCCTGTTGAACATCATTTTACTGCAGGTTTTAAGGTAGATAAACAAATTGCCATGATTGCTACCAAGGTCAGATATTTGCCTTTAAAAATGTTAGTGTAAAACCTGAAAATTACTGGTTGCTTATCTTAAAAATAGCTGTTAAAATACTATCCTTGATGGAGGTTACAGATTAGGACTGTTGTAGAAAAGAAGAAAGCTTATTCCATTAATAAAGTTTGAATATTTTGACACCACTTGGCTCCAGTTTTGCAGATCACTCTGAGACCAAACCCCTCATCTCTCCACTCGCATTAATTACTCTTTTGAGCTTTCCTCGGATCAGTGCATGGCATCTGCTGATCCACTTAACGAGCTGCTTATACAGGCTCAAAAAGGAGGAATTTATTTAGTCATGAAAAACACTAATCATTTTATTTCTAAGATCTCACCCTTCGACCATTCTGTGGAAGATTCAGCTGATGGTATAACTCTCTAGGGACCACATGAAGCCAACAGTGCGTGTGAAGGAGAGAAAATGGCATTGGGTCGCACTGAGAGGCCCACATGAATGTTCAATTGCTTTACTCATTGAAGGTCACAGCTTCTCTCTTGAGACTGAATGTAAAATGTCTGACACGTCTCCTGCTGCTCGGATATTTGTTTAGCTATAGCTCGTTTCTCCAATGACTGCCACAAAACATAAGTCTTAGAACAGAACACGGTGAGTCAACATAGGGACCAAAATATTATTGGTGGTTACTGATGGTATGACCCCCATCTAATCCATAAAAGTAGACTGATGACAGAGAAAAATTATTTGCTCTGATCCACATGTCACAAATGGACTTTTGTCAAAGTCATTAAAATCCTGCTGCATGTAAAAAAATTCTACTTTTCAGAAAACAATACAACATCATAAACATACTTTGTCCATCAGTGGTCATGGAGCTAGTGTAAATTCAACCTGGAAGACCTAGATTTGCTCCCGTCTACCTCACTGCTTTTCCAAAGTCTACCTGCTCCTCTGTCTTCATCACCTCACTCAAAATACTCCTCCCCACTGCTCACCACACCTCCTCTTCACCCAAACAGCGCCCAGCCTGCCCATCTTAAACCCCCATTTCAGATGCACGCCCGTTTTGGTTTGTGCCACATCCCACCACCTCTCCAGCACCGCCACAGCGTCTCATAATCTGATCATGTCCTTCACTCTTCACGGCCTCACCTCTAACACCTCATGTGTCCAGACCCCGGGGGAAAGACATCTCCTAAACATCATCTAATCAACCACGCCCTTCATCGCAATGTCTTCTGCTGGTCTACTAATTCAGCTAAGCTAATTCATGCACTGAAACTACTAAAGCTTTCCCTTTGTGTCTGAATCTCTCCAGGTTGAAATAATATTATTTCTGATCCACAGACAGACTCTGGATATGTTAAAATGGTTTTGAAAGTAAGAGCCCAGTGACAGGATATTGGTGTATCTTGTTTTGTTTTACTGCTAATATCAATCACAATATCACAAGTATTTAGTTGAATTGTAAATGTCTCATTCTAACTAGCTGCTATAAGGCACTTGTCAAATGTTACACTGAATTTGCCAGCCTTTTATTAATTGAACTAGCTTGTGTTTATCTGATCAAATCTGTTTTAAATTGCATCAAATTAAAACCAAATAGTATACTGCAGAATATGAATATAGATTTGAAGGCTATTAGTACTACTGCAACTACATGGGCCATATACTGAACAATTTAACACAATTATCATAACAATTTACTATGCAAGTTATTATAATAGTGAAATTTTCCCATCACAACCAGACCAACCTCTTCCGAGCATACTGTGTTTGAATCAGCCCAATGCAGTTTGAGCTTCCAGTCTGAGCATGTTATTTTGGTTTTTATTGTTTCTCTGTGTCTTGTAAACTATTCTCCTCCGGCTTGTCTATTAAACTAAATTATATCATACAGTAGCATTGGGTCATATATTGCAGTCATATTTTTTGTATATATCAGAAATAGAAGCATTTTTATGAGAGAATCTGAAGGTTACACAGGCTACTTTGCTTTTTTAAATACAACATCTGAATCCTGTAAATTGTATTTGTTTTTTTCCCCTCAAACATGAGTAGATTTGGTTGTGAACCAAACTACTGTAAAATCCAGACTACTGAGTGCACCTGAATATAAGCCGCATCAACTAAATTTTAACTTGTACATATATAGACCGCACTGGAATATAAGGCGCAGGTATGTATGTCTTCAAGAATGTTAAGTTCGGGCAATCTGCTTTTATCGCCTCTGTAAGCTTTTGTCGTCTTTTTGCATTGAGTCAGTTCGTCACACTGCCGTCGCCAAAATCTCACCATCGACTCAATGACGCTGAGCTCACGTGCAGCAGCTCTATTTCCTTCTTCAACAGTCACATCAATCCTCGCATCATCTGCATTTCTTCGTGTGTTTTCCATGAGGGTGTGTGTATGAAGGGCAAAATAACTGTTCAAAACACAAACAAATGAGCATCTCAGTGCACCACCCTTGTCTCTCCCTGCGCTCTGCGGCGCATGACTCCTGCAAGAGTCACTGTCCTGTCTATGTCTTGTAGGATTTCAGCAGATTTCAGGCTCTCTCGGGAGCGGGACTAGTTCTATCAATCAAGTATGACTGGATGTTCAGCTACTGAAGTTCGAGACGTTTCTTCTCGTCATTTACGCACATGGGTAAGACGTATCCCCCTCACTAATATTCATTTAGCATCATAACTTATTTTATCACACGGCGATAAACTGTTTTAGTGCGTTGACAATATGGCTAGCTGGTGAAGCAACTTCATGTTAACCCTAGATCCATGTGTAAACCGCTCAGACAGTGGCGCTTCCTGCACTCAGGCTGCGCGTATCCATGGTGTTGCCAAACCATAGACCGTATATATGAATGGACAATGTGCCAAATAAAGAATCCGTCCATATATTAGCTGCATTGTTTTATTAGCCACAGAGTTGAAAGTGTGAGAAAAAAGTAGTGGCTTATAGTCCGGAATTTACGGTAGCTGAATTGTATAGTTTTTATAGTGAAATATTAAACACGGAAAACTAAAATTTTTTCATAAATATAGTGTATAGTTATGTTAGCTCCATCACGCCAAACTGCACTTTGACATCACTTATGTTTATGTTCTCAGTTCAAAACCCTGGAACAAAATAATGGGAACAAAATAATGATATCTGTGGCCCCTGGAAATCACACATCCTTTTCCTGGTGGACTTCTTCCAGTTTGGGATGATCCCTGTGAGGGTTGGTTTTATCCACTTAATCCTGGACCCTAGAGTTTGACATGAAGCCGTGTGGTGATGGAGACAGCATGGATGGAGACAGAGCGATCATGTTTCAGTAGGGTCAAAACAAAGTTACAGGAGCAAGGCATTCTGGGTAATAATGCCACAGACAGGGCAGGATAAAGTAAGATTACGTCAGACAAGAGAGGTCCAAAAATAACAATTACATCTGTTGAATTTTACTGATGTATTTAGAAAAAACAAATGTAATACTTAACGCAGTCACTTTTGGTTTTCTAGTATTCAATTCAAAGTAGATGTAAGTAAATATAAGGAAACTAATTTACCTACAACATATTTGCTACATGTCTATTATAGAAGCGGATACATTTGCAAAAAACAGTCTGTATTTGAACAATTTAAGACTTAATGTAGATTTTAGTGAATAAATACTTGGATTATTCACACAAATGGACATATCATTATTCCCTGCTGTGACTTAAATGAACCAACAAATTGATTTTATGCAGTCAAGCTACTGTACATTTTGATAGCAGGTTCAAGGACATATCATTGAAGACCTCCCCTTTGGACCCAGAGAGTAGATATGAATGCATAAATAAACATATTGTGGACTTTTCAATATACTGGTGACGGACTCTAGGGTAAACACTCATTTGAAGATGCAAATTACAGCAACGCAAGATTCAATACACTATTGCATTCTGAATATGCCCTTCTTACAGTAATTTTGTTTTGCTGACACACTGATCTGATGCCTTATTATTTTATTTTTTAGTTTAAAGGTCCTATATCACCCAAAATTGACTCTTGTGAGATTTAAGCCGTATTAGAATGTTACCTCATCAAAAACATACCTGGAGTTGTGTTTTGTTTCATTCACACATGTTTGGGTATTCCTTTTTTATTAGTCTGTCTGCATCTCCAAAGCTCAAAATGCTCTGTTCCACCCTCTGATGTCATGAAGCAATAAATTTCAAGTTAAGTTACCAGGTCTGAAATTATAAAAATTATTCTAATGAAGGTATAGGCCTATGGAGTTTATTGATTTTATTAGAAGATGACATCACAAGGTAGAAGAGGGTGTTTTCAGTTTGAGAGAAGAACTCAGCCTAAAAATGCAGGATTTATGTGTTAAACAGTGTGAATGAGACAAAACAATGCTCCAGCTATGTTTTTGATGAGGAAACATCATCGTAACAGATCAGAAGATAGCGTAATACGGGCCATTAAAGTGTTCCTGGTGAAACCTTTTACATTTGCTGAGAAGTGAAGAACAAATAAGGGTGAATAGAAAGTTAAAGAGGACAGTTCAGAAGGACAGAATGAATGCCATTTCACAGTTATACCCAAATACATTCAACTTTTCTATCTATAGCACAAGCAGCTGCAACAGCAATTAAACAAATCAGATAAAAAGGCGTAAAACACAGGGAGTGATTATTGTACAAAGCAAACTAATGAGCAATCAGTGAGCCTGCCTGTGTCCGACTCTGCTTCTGTTCACCGTGCCGTGTAATCCCAACATTAGGGATAGAGAGAATAATGAGAAGGTAAAAATAAACTAAATGACTGCTGTGTAAAGGCCTTGCGGTGAGGAAAAACTGTTGATGTTACCTGGGAGATCAGACAGGGCTCCTCGCTCGATAATGTGCTTTCGGTACAGAGTCTTCAGGACCTTGGCGCTGCCAAACCTCTTGAAACGGCTCTTCACATTATTGTAATACCATTCAAGGGACTGGGTTCGCAAAATCCTGCAAAAGAGAGCAGGTAGTTTAAAAAGAGAAGAGTTGGAAAGTCATAATTGTAGTAGAATTATAGTATTAGGTAACAATCTGATGTTTCATAAGTATTACGGCATCAAAAAAAAAAAATAAACAAAAAAAAAAGAAAATTATAGTTGGGCTCAGCAGAAGTACACAGCATTGAATTTCAATGATAAACAGTGTTGTTATTCAAGTCAATTTAAATGAAAATATATGACCAAAAAGTAACCCAAATGTGAATGAAACAAAACACAACTCCAGATATGTTTTTGATTAGGTAAAAACATTATAATATGGCTTAAAGCTCAAAAGAGTCTATTTTGCGCAATATAGGACCTTTAATGTTGTAGTCTGTAACATTCCAGGTAAAGCAGTAAACAGTAGTAAACAGGCACTGGGCACCCCACCAAAAATGTTACATAGTGCACCTTTAGTTTTATTCAAGACCATTCTATTATATATTTTTAGACACATTTCATAAGCGTCTTGTGGCATAAATCTACTAAAAGGCTTTATCCATTCCTATTGTGTCCTTTCCCCTGAGTACATTTTTATCAGAGTGGCTTTCACATTACATTGAGCAGAATATGAATACAGTCAACCTATTAATGTATTTTCTTTTTGCTCACAGCCCCACGCCTGAATCCCAACCGGTCCGAGAGAACAGATGATTACATAAGCAGTAATTCATAAAGGAGCGTGCAATGAAAAACCCTCTCTTGCATTGGATTGCATGAATTTCTGCCAACTTTGTGTTTAATCTCTCCGAGCTGTTCCGCCTGCCTCCTATTGGCTTTTCATGCTACTGTCACACACATTTATGAGTTAAAGCAAAGATGGATTCTCTACCTTAACGTAAATACCGCCATTTTGAAAAGAAAACTGATTGCATTTTGACCTATAGCATTCTTTGAAAGGATGACACTTGCTAAATGTCACCTGCTAAACCATTTTTACAATGAATAATGTAGAGTAGAAGTATCCACTAGAGCTGCAGACCTTTAGAAGATTTTTATTTGTTGACTAATTATTTTGGAATTATAAAGGATTAGTACAGATAGCAGTAGTCAAGAGAGGGCATAGAGTGACTCAGCATATAAAGTAGAGCTGGGAATCACAGGATCCCTCAAGATTTGATACAAACATTGCTCACTATACGATATTATCATGGTATGGTGATACATGAGATACTCAACACATTGCACATGATACCCTGTGATATATTGCTGTTTTTAAGAACCACAAAACATTTTAGCAACAATATATCTTTTCTAATATTTCTTTACTGTACATGTTTTTTACTACATGGGCAAAGTTAATATGAAATACATCTATTTTAATCATCAAAACAGTTAATATCTCAAGTGTATTGCAGAGACAAATTTCCTTCCAGTAAATAAGCAACAAAATTGTTGTGCGGTCACATAAAAAAATCCTAAAAGATACAACAAAATTATTTGGCGATACATCGATACAGCAGCCCATGATAACAATGCTGTATCACCTAATTTACTACTAGTACTTTTCATGTTTTGCTAGTGCAGTTTGGGCCAAACACATGGTAGGATCACAGCAATAGTTTTGAGGCCGTATTAGAACGTCACGCCCTCTTTTAGTAGACCAATCAAGGCACAGTGGATTCAGTCATTAGTCAACCAAGAATTTACTTAACTTTACTCAATTACAACTTGTAGTATAGAGTGGAAAGCAAAGATAATGTTAGAATATGTAGGAAAGCAATAAAATATAATTCACAAAAACTGATTTGTTCACTAAATTATAAAGCTGTAGCTCAGTCGTCATTTTACTCCACACGAAAACCACTCTATTTTTTGTTTTTTCCATTTATAGCCTGTAGCATTTTGAGTGCCGCAACCCGCAACTAATCATTTCTTTTTTAGCCCATTACTGACCTTTCTCCAAATGTAATGGAAGTGAACATAACTTTTAGAGATGTTGCACACCGACTAACACACAAACTAGTGCCCACCACCAGACTTCCTGGTGCAGGTAATGAATAATGCAATAGAAGATTCAAAACAAAATGTGACCTTTATGGGTTTCCTGCTGCTTTGAATATTCAGAAAAATAAACCAGACAGCAGTATCAATTCTGTCATTCTCTTTTGTGCATCTCCAAGTGTTTCCCATTTGAATATTGATTAGGTTTTATACTGGATGCCTTGATGTAACATTCACCACTTATGTGGACTTGGCACCAGCACAAAGAGTACACTGACTTGTTATTGACTGTGGATAGTACTATTCAATGCTTTGAATGAATAAAGAAAGAGGGCCAATCTCTGCCAGCGGCCGGTACAATCACCATGTGAATACTTAAATGTGATTATGGTTTTAACAAGGCTTTGGTGTTACACATGGTCGAGTGGTTGTCAGTTACCAAAGTAGTCCAGGTTTTTTGAAATGTTTGGTGGACATCGCTAAACAACCACCAACACCACCAAGACCAGCACCACCACCTTGTACTTTGTAGAATGATGCATGTGTCCCAGTTGTTTCACTGCTGCATTGAAAACCAGAGCCTGCACTAACGTTGAAGCTCAATAAACTGCCATAACAGAGCCAGAGAAGCCAATGCTAATAAAGGGATAGTGCATGCCCCTGCGGCCTACCATCCATCCCATCTCCTTGTGCTACAGTCCCTCGCTGTTCTCTCCCCACTGTGTCATTCGCACTAGATTTATGCAGCTCTATCAGCCCGCCTGCTCAATGGGCCCGGGCTTCTTAATTTCATGCCACAGGTCAGTCTGGAGCTTCTCTAATGGTAGCCAGTGAGGAGGTTGGCCTGCTTTTATCTGCTGCATGTGTGATGATGTCTGTGGAATAAAAAAAAAAAAAAAATCTATGAAATGCTGGGAGATAGAGATAAGGGGGTTGGTTTTGAACTGAGCCGCGTACAAATGCAGGAGTGCTCGTACTGGAGTTTTTAATGGGAATTTTTAATACGATCAAGGTCTGTATCAAAGGAGAGTCTTAAATAATTACTTTTTAAACCAACTTCACATATTCCTAACCTCATTACATATAAATGACACACACATTAGTAGACAGAATACACTCTGTTGATTGGGACTGGGAATCACAGGGTGCCTCATGATTCGATACGATACCATGGCTCACAATATGATATTATCGAGATATGGCAGTACATGCTGTAATTGATATATTGCACACCATATATTGGTGTAAGAACCAAATACATTTTAACAACAATATTTCTTTGTTAAATTACTATTTGTACAAAGTTGATATGAAATACGTGTATTTTAATCATCAGAACATTGAATATGTTATGAATATAATAAGTATTTGTATAAACAAGTTTCCTTACTCTAAATAATAGGGATGCAGAAAAAAATTGAGTCATAATTATTAAATCACAATATATCGCCCTCTTTTAGTATCAGGATATATCTTGATATATGGAATCGTGACATATCGTGATTATGCAACATATCACCGAGGCAATACGCACCCAAACTAAATAAGTAGTGTGTGGCCACAAAAAATTTTTTTTAAGATACCAAAAAAATTCTCTTGGTAATATATATTGACACTGTAGCCACCAAATTTAGAATCACGATTGATACTTGGTATTTTTGCACACCGCTACAGTTGATGGTGTGTGTGCAAGAAAGACAATGGATGTTACTGTTAAGGAATTAGTTATTTAGTTCAATACAAACAGTTTGGCCAATGTTTACAAAATTATTAAATTTTATGAAATTATGATGTCTCCAAATGCAACTCAAGTTACGCTAATATGAATTTAACTTTTATAGCTTGAATATAACAACTTCACCGAGTTTAACTTTAATTTATGCCCAACCAGATGCTGATCATCTTCAAACCTAACCAAGCATCTGCTCCCTCTGAACTTGTTGCAATCATGCTGCCTTATCTTTTCAGGAAAATACAAAGACAGATTTAGGACAGAGGAATAGAGAGAGGAAACTGATGAATGAAGCATGACATGAGCCCCCTAGAGACATATGATCTAAAAAAGACAGAGGGGTGGAGAGAGGGGCGGATAAGTGAGGGGCTTTCAAGTCAGAACGGCAGCGCTGCATGAGCCTGTGCAAATACACTTTTCATAATGAGTTTGGGAGATTCCCCGATGCTGCATGAATAAGGTAAAGGCAATTCAAATAGAGGGTCTCTTGACATCGGTCTGTGCACCAGCCCACAATGCATACATCGTCAGAACATTTGCACATCTGTACACAGAACAAATAAAATCTATGGAAGTGCAATGTAGAGTTTGAGAGACAGTATGCTGAGTTACCACTTCCCCCAGCGAAAAGAAGGCATTACCATAATTGACTTTCTGAGCTTTGTAATGAAACGGTTCAGCTTGTGTTGAGCTTGCAGTGAGGAGAGTGAAGCATAAGAAAGCCACACATGCATGGTATTAGATGTGAGTATTTTCGTGGCCAATAGGATAGAAGATTTTGTAACCCCAAGCAGCCGTTGTCTGATAAGCTGTGCCGTTATCTAGGGCACATTTCGATCATTTTAACCAAACTGTATGATTACTTTAACACTTACTGCTCTACAAAAATGTATAATAAGGAATCCATAATATCTCAAACCAATAAGAAAGCATAACACAATAGCTACATTTGTGCAGTTATCTGGCACAAAAACCCCTGTTAAACATTACATCTCTATTGTGTTCAGTTGTGGATAGGGATGGGCATTCGATGAAATTTTCTTAATCGATCGTCGGAAGAATTAACGATCGATTATCGATTAATCATTAACGTTTTTATATTAAAATGATCATTATTATTACTATCTGCACTACTAATCTGCATAAATAAATTCAACTTTACGACATATAAACCGTAACGACTCTAGAGCCACATCAATCCGTTTGACATATAATGTGTTTAATTCAGTTTTGCGCAACTCTCACAGAAACGAAACTTAAAACCGCATCGCTAATTTGCATAAATTCAGCGAAGA